CGTAGAAAAGTTAAGGCCCGGCCGATCTATGAAAGTGGGCTGACTTGCGAACGTCTGGATTTGGGATTAGAAAAAGGGGTCATTCGTCTTTTCCAGGCCCATTTCAGACGTTAATTTATGCCCGGGGAGGAATGCGAAATAAGCACCTGCGAAACGATCGAGCACCGGCCCTCGCACGCAGGCTTTGAATGGGAGCGCGGTTCCCGCGAAGGCCTGGCCCTGGCCCGGCCACGAGAGGGCAGCAGGTGGTTATGGTGCCCTCTAGTGGCCGCCCGGGGTATTGCGACACATATCTGGTAGCCGTAGTCGCCGTAACTCGATCTACAGTAGCACATAGCCGGTGGGTGAGTCAGTGGAGATAGCCCTGGCCCGGCCTTTGCGTCGTGATTTCATCACTTCTTTAAAACAGCTTTTCTTAAAGAGCTTCAGAAGGCAAGAGACCAACTTTCCCATGTTTTTTGTTCTATTCATAGTTTTTAATTCTGTTTTAACAGTTTTGCTTTTTAATTGTTTTGAGGGTTTGGTTTTTGTTATTTTAACTGTGCGTGCCACCCAGAATCACATAGGTAAATCATAAATTTAATAAATAAATAATCTAGCCCAAAGGTCTTGGTTCATGCAGCACCCTAGTCCATGCCCAAATTAATCAAGATTAACATTAACCAAGTCTAACATGTCCTAATACAATAGGTAAATCTGTAACATGACCAGGTTAAGCATGTTACGTAGACCCAGCCAGTATCTTTAATTGAGAAAGGTCAGAGTTGTGTAGCAAATTATTATGGGATGGGAAGTGTTTTCCTTTTCATTCCAAGTTTTTATTTATGAATCTCTCTAAGCTTTGTATAACAACACAAACCAAAAGGGAATAAAACAGAAGCAACACGTTCAAGACAAAAAAATGGGCTTTTTGTGACTGAGTAACACATGGATCCACTCGACAACCATTTTAAGAAATAAGGTCCACACAGAAAGACTCAGCTTTAAAACACAGGATTTTGAATTTATTTTAGGAAGCAGAGGGCTGTTTTTTAATGATAATAATAATGCCCACATTCTCCCCAAACCTCCATCCTTTTAAAAATACAAGAGCCGGATGGCTGTCTTGGAGTACGCTCACCTCCCCAGCCTGATGTTTTCCAGATGTGTTAGACTACAACTCCCCTTGCCCCAGCCAGTATGACCCATGATTGGAAGACCAAGATAAGAAGAATGATTGTTCTCAATCGTGATGAGGCCCAGTCCACACAAAGTGTGTTCCACTGGCAAGGGAAGTTGCTTACATGTCTTGATCAAAGTCGTCTCACGCCCAACACAATTAGCTACTTCAGCAGTTTCTGTGTTGAGGGTGGTGAGATAGACTCTCTTGGAAGAAAACAGGGCATGCCAAGGGCCACCTGGGAGAAGAATTTGGGGAGGCTTGCTGCAAATGTGTAAGCACGCTTGGCGTATTGTTTTCATGGAACCCTGCATTCTGCAGAGCTGGCTCATGCATGTTAATTTATCATCTATGTTCATGCAGTGACTAACCAGTTCAAGAATAGACCTAGTAGCAGCATTAATGTAACGTATCAAGTTCGACTAATGTTAAAATTATTTTACTCCTTTTTTGTGATAGCTTAGCATGTTATGCTGGCCCGACCCAATGGATTAATTTAATATTTCAGTATATTCGTACATTAAATGAGTTAACTCAGCGGCTAACTTAAGCAGGTTGAATGAAGGCAATTATATTTTGAGGTTCTGAATCATACCAAGCCCTGCTGACTCCTGCTGAGAAATTTAATTCTGTTTCTTCAGATCCAAAGGAATATAACTCAGGGATGCATAAAGCCAGCCCCTAAGACTGTGTGGCTGGGTTCATACAACATTGATTATGTGCCATCAAATTGGCGTTGACTCTTAGCAACCACATAATTGCTTAGTTTTACATTGCTGCGTCTATGGCAAAACCAGGCAATTGGGTTAATTCAATAAACCATTGTTAACTATGGGTAAGTGTATCCTCCAAAACCAGTGGTTGGATTTGTGGAGCCCCATAAATCAGGCTAAAAAGAGTTTGGGTGGGTTATGATTCCATGTATTGTGGGAAATGGTAGTCTTTCTTAGTATATTATGGGAATAGCCATCATGTTAAGCCATAATATGGTTGGTTTATTTATTTTGACAAAGTGCCGTCACTATGTTTTGTTAATCTGGGTTTAGGATTGAGTATGTTGCATAAATCCAGATGGTCTCTTTGGTTAACCTTCGTATTTGTAAACCACAGTTCATGGCTTAGCATTGTGGGCAAATACAGCCAGTACCATTTGCTGGGAATGCAAAAAGGAGAACACTGTTAGGCACATGCCTAGCCTGTCGGCTTGCCAGAAAGGTTTCTGGTTGGAATCATAATCCTACCCAGGACTTTGATTCAATCCTGAAAATTCCTTCCTATGTTCTTACTGAGGCATCTCTGCTCTCCTGATGCAAAACTGAAGCTTCACTGGTTTGTCAAGATACACCTTGGTGGTTCTTCCTTAGGCTAACTTCTGTTCCCTGCCTCTTTAATTTTCCAACATGCTTATCAAACTGGTCTTTCCCTGAGAAATTCTCTGTCATTGTCTGAAACCAGCACACCCCATAAAAAGAACTGCGAGTCATAGCACACTTCATTTCAGCTGTTCAGATTCTCTACTTAAGCTGACATTTCAGGGAGGCAGAAAGCAAGCATGAACCAAAAGCTGTGTTGACAGGCTACTCTCGCTCTACATTCCTCACCTCCCCAAGCCCTAACCTGGAATTTAGCAATTATGTCAATTCCCCATTGTTATAAAGCAGCATTTTCGAACTTGGGTGCTCTCCAGAGGTGGACTTCAACTCTTGGAATTCCAGCAGAGATAATGCTGGCTGGGACATTGTAGAGGATGGTCAGGTTGGGGAAGGAAGCTCTCAACATTACTGTACTGGGAAAATCAGAATATGAATCCCCAAATGAAGGAGTAGCTAATCTGTTCTCATGGTCTCCTATGTTTACCATAAGGTTAAGGCCTGGATGTGCTGACTGGGAGTAAAACCCCAAGGTTTTATTAGTCTTATTCCAGAACATTTGGACTGCTCACATCTAGCAAAATGTTGACCATTCCCACTACTTTCCTTCTCTTTCCTAACAAAGATCTTGTTCATCCAGAACAGGGTTTCTCAACCTCAGCCACTTTAAGATGTGTGGACTTCAACTCCCAGAATTCCCCAGCCAGCTATCTGGCTGGGGAATTCTGGGAG